GGGATCAAAGTGGACCCGCAGGACGGCCAGTGCACATGCGAGCGCATGCGAGACCGCGCGTGGCCCCATGTTCACCGAGAGGGCTCAGACCGAGGCGGGAGAAGACGACGCTGCAGAGGGTTACCGTGGCGAGATCCGAGAAAAAATCGGAGGAGACGGTCAGGGATGTGGGATTCGGAATGCCCAGGGTATGTCCGTTCGAACTCTTGACAGACACGGGATAGGGCAGGCGCGTCTTTTCTTTGGCGGGGCAAAGATGGAGACGGATCCCAGGCATTCTGAAGTGCCCGAAGGAGCTGCGTCTGCTGGACCTGAGGGACATGCTTAAAAACAGCAGATGAAGGCGAAGGCCACGGATACCAACGTGAACATCAGCCCGCCAGGGGCCCTCAATGACGACGACGTCCTTGACCGGATGGAGGACGCCAAGGAGACGAAGGAGGAGGGCCGGCCAGGATCGACCGCCGACCTGCACGCGAAGCCGAAGACCAGAGAAGCAAAGATAAATATACAGACCGACCTTCTCGAGAAGACGAAGAGGAAGGCGCGTTTGAAGACGAATTTCGTACCGACCTTGCGGAGGTACGGGGCGCTGCATAGCGACGAGGAAGCCGATTGGGAACAGCTGTACTTGGACAAATTCGACGTGGCAGCCTGGGCAGCATCCGAGGTTGAGGAGGAGATCACCACCCCGATGGACACGGACTTCATCGAGGTGGGCTTCGAGGCGGTGGATAGGTGGCACGCGGACAAGATAGTCAGCCAGCCGGAGAGGCGCACATCCAAGGCTCTGAAGAAAGTGCAAACCGAGGGGACGATCAAGGACTTGATGGAGGGGGCGAAGGCGGTGGAGGTGCGCGATTGGATCGCCAATGACGTTCTCGAAGAGTTACCGCCACACCTGAAGCCGAGTAACACCGACGTGCGGAAGAACAGATGGGTGCCGACCTGGGAGCAGGTCGATGCGGCGGGTGGCAGCCGTGCCATGGCAGGGCTGGTGGTGTTTGGATATCAAGATCTTCGACTGGGTGAACAACCAGTGGGATCGCACATAATACCACGCAGGGCTCGCAACATGATTTTTCCAGCTGGTCTCAATGAAGACTTGGCTCAAGAAGGAAGACGCGAAGGCGGCGCTCGAGCGACCGACCTGCACATCGGCGAACGACGAGCTGGCGGAGGCACGCGGAGTAAGATTTGGACTGCGGTGAGACTTAAGAGGGCGATTCATGGATCATGCCGGGCACCGAAATCGCGGTGCGAAAGCGTGGGCACGCTGATGGAGTAGGTCGGTGGCCAATGATGCGCGTCGGATCCGCGCGCGCGGGTCTCCAGCGACAAGAGGGGCGATATTTATGATCGGCGCCCACGCGGGCGACTTCCTGATCGCGGAGACGGAGACCGATATGGTGCGACGCCTCGGCGAAGTCGCAGACGGCGTTCAGATGGGCGCCCTGGGAGGAATGCAGTTTCTAGCAGACGGGCTTGACTGTCAGCCAGGACGAGGCAGGTCGGATCACCGCTCGGCACAGGGGCTCCATTGACAACGTCACGGGTGGAGACATCCCGATGGATCGGCGGAAGCACATGGATCGGAAGTTGACCGCGTGCGAGATGACGACGTTGCGCGGAGCCCTCGACCAGATCCAGTGGATGGCGATACAAAATGAACAGGGACGACGCGCAGTACTCCATCTACCAGAACAGCGGACCAATCGCGACGATGGAGACGCTCGTCGGGATCAACGTTGACCAGACAGATGAAGGCGGACCCAAACTACCAGCTGAAGTTCGAGCCATTCAACTGGGAGGCAGTCGTGGCCGGCTGGAGCGACGTGGTCTGGGCGAACAGACCAGGCGGGCTGTCGATTAGCGACTGCGTCATCGAGGTCGCGCCGAAAAGCGTATTGGAAGGGAACCGTTCACTAGTGGGCTGGGTGTCGCACTGGAGTGGCAAGCTCCAACGAGTGACCAGAAGCTCTCTGGCGGCCGAAGTGCAGGCGGTGACGGTCGCCGAGGAGAGCTGTTCTCAGTCAGAATGATGCGGGCCGGGCTGGGCGGATGCATTTCCGATGCGGCTTCGGGCGCAGCGCGCGGTGGGCGCGAGTTGAAGCCGATGCTCGATGGAGCGAAGGAGATCAGGCTCGCCCGTTCGCGGACGCTGAGAGCAACAACGCGGCCTGGCAAAGCAGGCGCAGGTGCAGAGCCTTGCGGAGAAGAGGACGGCGCTGGAGTTGATGGCCTTTGAGAAGTGCGTCAACGCGAAGGGCCACATCGCGAGGTGGTGCCACTCAGAGGCAAACCTGGCAGGCAGGTCTTTCAGAGGTTACTCAGAGGTCACTCAGAGGCCACTGGCAGAGCGCGGCGGCGTTCGGACCCATCGAGCTGCACTTGAAGACGTGGAGCTGGGCGCTAGGCGAGGGCGACGAGCAGCTGGGCGCCAAGAAGCTGAACGAACGGGGCTTGGGCCGATTCGCGAAAAATCGTGGCTTCGCCGGACTCATCAAAGGCGGCGGTCGAGATGAACGGCATATCGCTGCCAGACGTGGTGGGTGGTGTTGTGTCAGGGTCCGAGGAGTTGTGCATCGAGCCTCCAGCTCGATGGTGTGACAGCGGACGCTGGGGCCAGGGGCGTGACATGGTGCGTGAGCAGTTGTTTCTGTCGTTCGTACGCTCTGTTTTGCGTTTTAGTGTTCTGTTTTTCTTATCGTCCCTGAACGTGGTTCCTGGGGAGGAAGATTCCAGGCAGGCTACGTCCCTGGTCGACATGGCTGTATTTGCAGACTCGTCGCTCCAGGTCGGTCCTTTTTCCGCCCGTGTCCGATGCGGGGTATTATCAAGCGTCGGCAGTCGCTGCCGACGCAGTCTCGCTTGCCCCCGCGGGGGCTCGCAGGAGCCCTCTGAGATTCCCTTCTCCTGTGGCGCCAGGGGTCCCAGGGTTCCCGTGGTGGTTCGCAGGGGTTCTCCGAGGGCCCCGTCGCTGTTGAGGTGGCGCCTCGGTGCCGCCCGTGGTGCCCCAGGAGGGTGCTCGGCAAGACATTGCGTCGTCTGCAGGCCGTGGGCTCGTTGCTGGCGTCGCCAGCGTCCCCGCCCTCCGTCCCTGGTGGGTCTGGTGCGTCGGCCAGCAGGGTCTCGAATTTTCTGTGAGGGTCTCTCGAGCGCCCCTGGCCGGCCGCACCGAGTGTGTTGTCCAAAGGTCCGTGCGGGCGCACTGGACCACCCAGGGGGGAGGCAACCCACTGGAATCTTCGTTATAACGATTCGCTGACGCCCGATGCCGAAGACGGCGTACACCACAGGCGTGATGCGCCAATTTGGCAGAGAGACCTACTTGCTAGTGAAGCCCGAAAGCCCGTGCGGACTACCAGCCACAAAGATTTCTGAGGATAATCCCAGCTGTTTGACATTCGTTTCTGGAGAAGCGTTCTCCGTTTCATTGCTGTTGTGCGTAGCCATTGTTGCTCCATGGGCCCTTTGGGCCGCCTTTTGGGTGGTACCTTAATCTTTGAAAGAGCGTGTTCTACCGCTGCTGGCGGAAAACCGGGGGGGTCACTACCGGTTCGAACCCCTCCCCCCCCCCCCCCTCCGGAAAACCGGGGGGGGGGTCACTACCGGTTCGAACCCCCCTCCCCCCCCCCCCCAGCTCATCATGAAAAGGGGGGGGGTCACTACCGGTTCGAACCCCCCCCCCCCCTCGAAAACCGAGTGGGGGTGCGGACAGTGGTGGGGACGGTGTTGGTGGGGACAGTGGTGAGGGGACAGCGGGACAGTGGTGGGGACAGTGGGGGGACAGTGGGACAGTGGTGGGGACGGTAGTGGTGGGGACAGTGGTGGGGACAATGGTGGGAACAGGGGGGACAGTGGACAGTGGTGGGAACGGTGGTGGTGGGGACAGTGGTGTGGGGACAGTGGGAATGAGGTGGAAACACTGGGACAGTGGAGGGTACAATGGTGGTGGGGACACTGGTAAAGGCGGTGGCGAGGACGGCGGTGGGACAATGGGACAGAGGTACAGTGGGGACAGTGGTGGGGACAGTGGGGACAGTGGTGGAAACAGTGGGACAGCTCAGTGGGACAGCGGAGGAGTCAGTGGGACAGTGGGGACAATGGGGATAGGCAGTGGTTGGGTCCGTGGAGACAGTGGGGAGAGTGGAACCGTGGTGGGAACAGTTGTGGGAACAGTGGGGACAGTGCGACAGTGGTGGGGGCATTGGTGGGGACAATAGGGACGGTGGTGGAACCAGTGGGGACAGTGGTGGTGAGGACAGTGGTGCTGGGAACAACAGTGGGGGATGTGATGCGAGCGGTGGTAGGGACCGGGAGTCGTTTGCTGGCGGTGCGTGGGGGGGGGTCGAACCGGTAGTGACCCCCCTCCGGTTTTCGAGGGGGGGGGGGTCCAACCGGTAGTGACCCCCCCCGGTTTTCCGGGGGGGGGGGGGGGTTCGAACCGGTAGTGACCCCCCGCTTTCGAGGGTGAGGGGGGGGGGGGGGGAGGGGTAGGGAGGGGGGGGTTTTGCCGGGAGGGAGGGGGGGGGGGGGGGGAGGGGTTTCCGGGGGGGGGGGATTTTCGGAGGGGGGGGGGGGGAGATCCCCGGGTTCCGGAGGAAAAGGTTGGCAATTTTCCACAGTAAAGCGGCGGTGGATCACGCTCTCTCTAATCTTTCGAGCTCCAAAGAATTCACAACCGAACCAGATTAACACCTCTGCCTACGAGAGGGAATAATAACACATTCTTCCTTACGTGACTGTCTGGAGACGTGTTGTGCGTGCTGGACCGTGGCGAGGAATGACTGATTTAGCCTTGCACCTGGTGCACGAAAAGAAGGACAATCGATCCACGGAACCTCGAGTTTCGGATTGATACCGCATGGAGATGAGTTTCGGCACGCCAGTCGGCGAACCCGCGTCCCCTCACCCCCCACCCCCGTCCTGATCCTCGCCCTCTCCCCGCCCGCTTGTCCTCCGCCTCCTTCGCCTTCCCTTTCACACGGGCCCGGCAGGTACCTCCGCAACAGCATTGATTGCGCAGACGAAGGCGCGGCGCAGATGAGGCTCGCGGAGTGGATCGCCTCAGGCCGACCGCTCGGCAGCAGCGCGCTTTAAGCAGGAGCGGCATGGGCGCCGTCCCACCTCCCGATGTGTCACGCATCATAATCGCCTTAGTCAGTGTGACCCTAAAAGTTAGTTCTTGCACTGTCGCTGTGCAACGTTGTTGGTGCCAGCTGCGTGTGTTGCAGTATATGAGGTGCAGTAGTTGTTATGCCGTTTGTGCGCGGTGCAGTCTGCGGGTTTCCAAGGCGCAAGTAACGGGATACAATAGATGTGGTGCAGCCTATGTGATGAATTCTGTGGGGTGCAATCTCTTAGATGTTGATTATGTGGCGTAAGCTCCATCGTGCAATACTCATACATGTATACGTGTAAGTGAATAGTTTGCACATCTATTCTTCACGCTTCGCGTATCCCCACCAGACGTGTGGAGCCTGGCGCCTCACAGGCCACTCACTCCACCGGCCTCCCACTTGCCTCCACTCAGATTGACGGTCCTGGTCATCCTGGTTATGTCTCTTGACGGGCTTGGTTACCGGGTTCACGTCTCAGATTGTGGCTGGCACCGAATTCAAGACATTTTGTCTGTGCACGTGCACGAGTTCTCAGGGTCAGGTCACCTGCAGCGTCAGCCTCTCTTCAGCTTCGTGGCTGCTTTGTGAGCGGGCCGACTGGCCTGTGCCTGTTGCAATTAGCCCCGTACCGTGACCTGGACGCCGCTTCCGCTCCCTGTCCGTTGCCTCGGAGCCGCTGCCAAAAAAGTATCCCCACCAGCCCAGTCAGAAACCCTGCCTTTAAGTGCTGACGGGAAAATTGACGAAGAGACACATTTAGGGAAACAGAGCGAGCATAGGGGTGGCCTTGGAATGCCTCTTCGGGCCATCCCTGGGTGCCGCGTGGGGGCTAGGGGAAGAGGAGGAGGAGGAGGAGGAAGTCGAGGACGAGGACGAGGAGGACGAGGAGGATGAGGAGGACGCGGATGAGGACGAGGACGAGGAGTTTTTTGAACTCTCTTTGGAGCCTCTCGGGGGCCCTTGAGGGCATCTTGGGGACATGTTGGAGAGCATCGATCAAATGTGGAGGGGTTCTCGATTTCGCCCCCCCCCCCCCGTCCCCCTCAGGAGCCCTCAACATCGCATCTTGAAACCATCGTCGCGCTCTTTTGGAAGGTCTTTGAGCACTCTTGGGGCCGCCTTGGGCCCCTCTGGGGACCCTCTTGGAGCCCTCTTGGGGCTCTCTTGGGGCTCTCTTGGGAGCCCTGGAGCGCCTCTTGGAGCCATCTTCGAGGCTATCGATCAAAGGAGGGGGGGGTCCGATCGAGGTCCACCCCCCCCGGGCCCTCGAAACTCTCTTTTGGAGCCCTCTTGGGGCGCTCTTTGGGGCGCTCTTGAACGCTCTTGGGGCCGTCTTCGGGTGCCTCTTGGGCCCCTCTTGGGGCCTTCGTGGACCATCTTGGGGCCATCTTGAGGCCTCAGAAGCGCGTCGGAAGCGAACCGGCGAGAAGGCAACGATCATCAATTGTCTTTGGGGGTTTGAAGGATTTGGGGCTCTTGGAGGGGTCCTGAGGGGTTTCTGAGAGCACCTGGAACCGTCTCGTGGTCATCTCGGGCCTCTTGGAGGCATGTTGTCAGGTATCTTGAGCCATGCCATGTTGGGCTATCTGGATGATTTTGGAGGCCATCTTGGGCTCTCTGAGGCCCTCTTGGAGCCATCCTGAGGCCATCCAACCGATCGCGGTCCCTCCCGTCCAGGTCCAGGGGAGGGGGTAGGGGGAGGGGTCAAGACACCCTCCAGATAGCAAGCCGTCTAGCTCACTCCCACCCGCCGTCCCAACACATAAGTAACACCCGAGCCTCAGCATGTTCCGCGGTCGTCTTGTGATGGGCAGCTGCTGGGACCCAAAACCGAGCCCATGTGCGACGCTGGGGCGAGTTGCGCCACGCGTGCCAGGCGCGCCACGTGCGCCAGGCACCCCTGGGGCCCGAGCGTGCCGGGCACGCCTAGTGCGCCAGATGCTCTCTCCAGCCGCGCCAGGTGCGCCACGTCCGGGGCACGTGCAGAGTGTGTCAGGTGCGCCTGCGCACGTGACAGCACACATCGGGAAACATGTCGGCCCCCACCATCCCTGTTGAAAACCAATGCCCATCATTGTGTCTGGTGGGCCTGCGCACAGCAGGCCGCCATCCGCCCCCCCCCCCCCCGCCGTTCCTGACAAAAACCACTTGACAATGATCGCGGGGTGGCCGCGCACTATCCACATTTAGCCGCGAGGTGCATTTTGTTTTGTGTGTTGGTTGGGGATGGTAGCCCTGCACGCAGCAGGCAATATGCTGACACCCCCGCCGTCCCTGTCGAAAAACACTACAAAGTGCCCGCGGGCCTCACGAACATGGCTCCAGACTTCGCCCCAAAGTGTACCGTGTATGGTTTTTTGAAATGGATGGTGGGGGGGCCGCATCGGGTTGGTTGCGCATGCTCCGAATTTGGAGGCAGAGTGTGTTTTGCATGTTTTTTTTGGACAGGGATGGTGGGGGGGGGCCCTCATGGTGTGCGCATGGTTCTGGGTTGGCTGCCGGCCGGGTGGGGGAGGGGGTGTTTATCAGTAGGGAACAGTGATAAACCCGTCCCCGAAGGGAAAGCGGGGTTTTGGAAGAGGAAAGAAAGGCATCGTTGGACCACCTGCGCCCAGAAGGCTGGTGGGATTTATGTGAATGGCGCAAACGATGCGGTGCAAGACGTGTGGCACAACATACGGGATGCAATGTACCATGCTTGCATTCACGCGTGGCCACTTCCAACGTGCAATTATCCAAGCTACCCACCAGCAAAATGCTGGAAACAAACCAACTGGGGTGATGATGCGAAAGCCCTTATGCAGATCCATGGTTCGGATGATGATGATCACGGGTGTGAGGATGATGACGACGATTATGATGTTGGTGAAAGTGAGGGTTGACGGTGATGACGGTGGTGATGACGCTGGCAATGATGATAACGATGGTGTTGAAGGCGACGCCAACGACGATGACGATGACGATGCTGGTGACGGCGGTGGGGATGATGAGGACGACGGCGACGGTGGTGAAGATGATGGTGATGATGGTATGAATGAAGACGTTGGTGGTGATGATGATGATGATGTTGATGATTATGAGGATGGTGAGGTTGATGGTTTTGGTGATGATGTTGATGAGGTTGATGGTGATGATGATGACGACGAGGAGGAGGAGGAGGAGGAGGAGGAAGTGCGGGCGCGCAGAAATCCGCACACACATTTGCAGTACGTGTTTCGAGACGCCATTGTGCAACGATATGTGTTGAAATGCTTTGGGGACCTACAATTTTGGGGAAGGCGTCGACGTGCGCGCGCGGAGACGCGCGCGAGCGGCGTGCATGGCAGCGTTTGACAGAGCTGGTGGGTTGGCGATGACTGTTAATGCCAAGAAACACCCTGCTTGCCTCCAGGGTTCCCTGGGTTTTCTTGGTTTTCGATGGCTTTGCTGTGGAAAGCGTGACGTTTCCACACCAAAACTCAATGGACATCCTGGGCCCTCAGGGTTGGGTTTCTTGTGGAAGGTTTCTTGTGGTCGAGCTCCTACTGTTATGGTGATCTGGCTGATGTCTACCAGCGCCGCGCGAAAGTCTGACAGATCTGCTGTTGCAGCAGCAACTCGTGTTTCGACGCTTCTGAATGCACATCTATCAAATTGCGTTACCTGATGTTGACGAGCGGGCGCGAGGGCGCGCTTACGTGGCCCGCATAGTGTTGTGTGATACGGATTCTGACAATATACGCACTTGTCAGAGTCATGCGTGTGCACTGCATGGTTTTCTTTGACAGTGATGAGGTGGGGCGATGCCGCGCCGGCTGGCATGGTGACGAATCTCATTTTCAGTGAATGATTGTCCGAAGCCAATTCACTGAAACCACGATGCGGATGGGGAATGTTAAGTTCGTCCTCGGCATGGAGATCGAGTACATCTGCGGCGAGCCCGGGGAGAAGTGAGAAGAGGCCGGCCTGCTCGGAGTGCTCGGAAGTCCCACGGCCTTTGAGAAGTTTCCTGGGCTTTCCCCGAAGACAGAAAACTTCTCACAACTCGCGAGGGCTGAGGACTCCCGCCGCCCTCTGAGAAGGCGTTCTCCTTCTCATTTCCCCCCTCGCTCGCCGCCGAGTATAGTTCCGTTGATCTGGGAGCGCCCTTTTATACGGTGCAATCGAAAGGCCAGCATGGGGGGGCCACACGCGAACCCTACCCCTACCCCCACGATTTCTGAGGGGGAGGGTGGGGCTCACTTGGTTCGGAAGCTCCCGAGCGAAGGGAACCCCACACCCCCCGTCAGAAATCGTGGGGGGGGGTAGGGGGGGGGGCAGGGTCCGCCATGCGGCCCCCTGCAGCAGTCGCGCGAGGCGGCCACGGGCGCGTTCCTGGAGAAGAGCCCAGAACGATGCCAGCCAGCGCACGGGGCGGCCACAGCAGGCGGCCAGGCGCGAAGGCCCGCAAGCGCCCGCCCGCGCACGGTGCAGCCACGAAGCGACCGCGGGTGCCCACCGGCCGAAGAAAAGTCCGCCACGCAGGCCAGCGAGTGAAGAGAATATCTCAGGAGGAGAAACAACACACAGACACAAACATTGATGGTCGATTCCCCAGAAAATATGGGAAAATATAAGCAGTGGGGGGGGAGACAGAAACCTAGAACATATGGGAAACTATGGGGAATCCTTTCATTTGTGTGAATTTATTTGTGTGTCCCAGGGCCCCTTCAATATCAGCGGCGAGCGAGGGGGGCGGAAGTGAGAAGGGGCGGGCCTTCTCAGAGGGCTCGGAAGTCCCCTGGCCTTCGGAGAAGTTTCTTAGGTCTTCTCCAGAGGCAGAGAAAGCCTGTCAGAAGGCCGGAGGGCTTCTGGTCAGCCCCGCCGCCTTCTGAGAACGCCTTCTCCTTCTCAGTTCCCCCCTCGCACGCCGCCGAGAATAGCAAGAATCCCCTAGTGCAAGCACCGCACTGCTTGGGGCAGAAGCTTTCTGGATCGCCGCCGCGGGTCTCCGAGGTCGGCGCCATCTGCGGCACCTTTGGCGCCTCCCCCCTCTGGATGCGGCACCGTTGCAGCCGCCCCCTGGCGCGCTCGGCGCACGGGGGGGTCACGGTCAGCGCCGACCCATTGAATTTATCCCGCGTGAATTTAGATGTGTTCTCCTCGCTTGCCGATTGTTAGTATAGTGTCCATGCTCCTCCTCCGTATTCCTCCTCGTTGCACGATTGACAGAAGGAGGGTGAGGAGGAGGAGGAGGAGGTCGGGTAGCATCGGGTTGCCATGGTAAAAGCTGTTGCGGCAAAATGAGGACGGTATAAGGGGTCTGAAGCGAGCAGCGGGACAAGGAGGAGGAGGGGGGCATCGGCGGAGCTGCTCCAGAAAGCTCAAATACGCTGCTGGTCATGCTGATACGCTGCACTCAGCCCGCATAGTAAGGATGAGCAATTTTCCAAGGTTGCCCTTGCATCCTTTCCCTTCGGCCCATCGTTGGCCGCTTTCGCCTGCCGCGCCCCGCTCGCAGAGTGTCGACATGGCCTTCCAAAGCCCTTGCATCCTTATCGTGCGTCCTTCATATCAAAGAATGCAAAACCACCCAGACCTCGACAGCTGGTGTTTACTAAACGGCCCAAGGCACTTACTAAACATGCCTTCCCTGCTCGATTCGTTCCTTGGGTGCGCTCACTAAATGGCTTCGCTTGTTGGGGTGCTTATTATGGGGGGGGTGATTTTCGGCCCTCTATATTGCGAAGGCCTTCCGGCCGGTTCCGCCGACCCTGAAGGGAGACGACGACGACGACGACGACGACGACGATCACGACGACGACGACGACGACGACGACGACGACGACGACGGCCGCGGCGGCGGCGGCGCCAGCGGCGGCAACGACGACGACGCTGACGTGGGCCAGAGTCCGCAGGGATGGTTCTTGGGGTCTCTTCGGAAGTCTCTCGGGGGCCTTAAGGGAGGAATTTCGGGGCCTCTTGGGAGCCTCTTGGGGGCCTCCTGAGGGCCTCTTGGGAGCCTCTTCGGGCTTCCTGGGCTTGTGGGCCTCTTGGGGCATCTGGGGAACCTCTTGTGGCCTCCAAGGAGCCTCTTGGGGCGGAAGGCTCGAACTGACCGTTCGGGCCCCCCGTCTGGGCACGCTCTTGGAGCTGTTTGGGGGGCATTTGGGGCCGTCTTGGAGGCGTTTTGGGCTGTCTTGGGGTCTTCTTGGGTTGTTTTGGGGCCATCTTGGAGGCCTCTTGGGCCGTCTTGGGGAGACCTTGGGGGCCTCTGGCGCCGTTTAGCGGCGGGGAGTGGAAAAGGCGAGAACGCCAAAATGTTTCAAAAGCAAGTAACAATCACCAAATTTGGCCTCTTGGGGCCCTCTCGGGAGTGCTCTTGGAAGCGTCTTGGAGTGTCCTGGAGGCCTCCTGGGCAGTCTGGAGGGCGTGAAGGCGTTTTGGACCGATCGTTTGGCGATTGGGGACCCTCTTGGATCGTCTTGGCGGCCTCTTGGGGCACTCTTGGCCTGTCTTCGTATACTTTCTGAGGCCCGAGGGCCCCCAGGGGGGGGGGAAACTTATCTGGGTGGCGACCTCCCCCGTCCCACCCCCCGGCGCGGGGAAGGGATCAAAGGGAAGGGGTTTCATTCGACTCGATTACATTGCTAGATCTTTCTCTCGCTGATAAGCTTGAGGAGGAGGGGTGCAGGGAAAGGGGACGACGAAGACGACGACTGATGGAGACGACGACTCGAACAGCCAAGCCCCTCACACACGCCGACAGGGTCGGCGGATTCTACCGGGTGATTGTAAATTGTTTGGCTACATACGTTCGGGGCCGCGCCTATGGGGGCCGCGCCGCGGGTGGAGCCACGCAGCCGATTAGTCACGTCCGCATGCGGACTGGACTTTAGTTGGTTGCCATGCTGTGCCCAGAAGCAGGGGAAGGGGCGGGCATGCCCTGCCTGGCGCCGACAAGACAAGGGCCCGATCGCTGAGCGATGACCGGCAGAATTCAGAGGAGAGGGAGGCGTCGAGGATCACCGAGCGCGTTTCGCTACAGGCAAGGTGCCTACTCGCAAACGTTTGAAAAACACATGTTTGCCTCGATGTAGTGGATCGTAGATTCCCCGCGGCGGGCGAGTATTGGAACGCGCTTGTCTAGAGGAGGCGGCGATGAGTTGCTGGAGGAGGGCGAGGACGAGGAGAGGGAGAACATCGGCAGCAGGAGCAGGGAGGGGCGTAGGAGGGAAGGAAAAACAGGATAAGCAGGAAAAGCAGGACAAGCGGTGTAGACAGGATCTGTCAAAGACGTGGGGGGCCCTCACCCCGTAGGCCTACCGTGGTCGGGTGCTGGTCCTTCCACAGACACCCTCGCACACGTAGTCGAAGAATCAACCACCACGTGCTGCAGACATTATCGCGCACGTAGCTGAAAAATCAACCACCACATGCTGACACAACGAGGCGCACGTCCCCGTGGCGCGAGACCAGGAGACTGCCACACGACGAAACCACCGGCCGCGCCCTCGGCGCAGGCGGCGGGCGGTCTCAGTCTCAATTTCTACCCGGCCGATAATGGAGGCGCCGACCTTTTGGGGGTCCCCGGCTATCCCGGTGTGCTCGCCAGCCCCCGGTTTATGCGGGGGCGGAGGAGGAGTAGTGAAGGAAGAGGCTGCTTATAAGCAGCGGCATCGAAGAATGAAACGGCATAAACAGAATTATTCGACGCTCCGCGCAGATTTTTTGGGATCTGCGCTGGGCCTCCCTGGCGGCGCCTGAGGCGCGCCAGGCAGGGGGCCCGGCGCAGATCCAAGAAATTCGCGCGGACCGTCGAAAGTTATGTCGATTTCCTTCTTTCCTCCCATGCAGAAGGAGGAAAGAGCAGCAGGAGCCTGGAGGTGGCGGCGCCGGGCTCGGGGTGGGCGTGCCCCGGTCCCGGCGCGCGGCCGGCTGAGAGGCGCGCCATTGGACGATTTCCTCGGCGGCCCGCTCGGCGGCTGGCTGGCCGACAACGCGGGCGTCACAGCTTCCGCTCACGCTCGTCCTCCTCCTTCTCACTATCCGCCTCCGCCTCCTCTTTTTCCGCCTCCTCCTCCTCCTCCTCCTCCTTCTCCTCCTCCTCTTTCTCCGCCTCCTCCACCTCCTCCTCCGCACTTTCCGCCCTCACCTCACTCTCCGCCTCCTCCTCCTCCTCCTCCTCCTCCACTCCTCCCACCGCCTCCTCCTCCTCCTCCCCATCTCTCCTCTCCTCCTCCTCCCTCCTCCTCCTCCTCCTCCTCCTCCTTCCTCCTCCTCCTCCCTCCCATCCTCCTCCTCCTCCTCCCTTCCTCATCCTCATTCTCCTCCTCCGCCTCCGTCTCCTTATTCTGCCTCCCCTCCTCCCCGCCACCTGCTCCTCCCCCGCCCCTCCCTCTTCTCCTCCTCTTCCTCCTCCTCCTCCATCCCTTTTATCTTTGTAGATACTTTCTTCCTCTTACACCCCTAGACGTGTCCGTGGGGCGGGCCGGGCGTTTCGCTTGAGATTTCTTTACCGTGAGCCGAAGACGCCTACTGCGAACTGCGAATCAACGCCGCCCCGTGCCTTGTGGAATCGCCCATGTGGCCGAACGTTGTTGCCAGAGCTCTGCCAAGCTATCCGACCATGTGTTCCCCAGCCGTTGTGGAAACCCTTCGGGGAACACGCTTGGGAGAAAGAAGAAGCGGAGAAGAGGGAGGAGAAATAGAGAGGATGATGATAATGAGGAGGAGGAAGAGGAGGAAGAAATGCTGGGGAAAGCTGAGGAGGAGGAGGAGGACTCGCAGGGAGGAGGAGGAGGAGGAGGAGGAGGAGGAGGAGGAGGAGGAGGAGGAGGACTCGTAGGGCCTCCTGGGAGCTTCTTGGGGGCCTCTTGGAAGCCTCTTTGGAGCCTGCGTTAGCCTCGTGAGGGCCTTTTTGGAGCTTCTTGGTTGCTTCTTTGGCCGTCTTAGGGCATTCCTGGCCCGTCTGACCCCGTCGGAAGCTGTTTTGGGGGCCTCTCTGAACCGACTTGGTGCCCTTTTGAGGTGTTCCAGTGCCGTCTTGGAGGCTATCTGGGGCGTCTTGGAGGCCTCTTGAGCCGTCTTGTGGCCCTCTTGAGATCCCCTTGGGAGCCTCTGGGGCCGCCATGAGGCCAGTTGGGCATCTTCGGGCCTTCCTGGAGGGCCTTGGAGGCCTTTTGGGCCGTTCCGGAGACCTTTTGGGGGCCTCTTGGGCCGTCTTGGGGCCATCTTGGAGCCATCTTGGGCCGTCTTGGAGGCCATCTCGGACCATCGTGGGAGAACTTGGAGACCTTGACCATCTTCGAGGCCATCGAAGCCGTCTTGGCGACGTCTTTTTTGCAGCAGCGGGGCCTTTCGAGTGGCCGGCGCGCTTGGCCGAAGCCCCAGGGGGAGTTCTTCTGGAACCGCAGGAGGAGGAGAAGGAGGAAGAGGACGAGGAGGAGGAGGAGGAGGAGGAGGGAGGGAGGACGAAGAGAGGGAAGAGGAGGGGGAACAGGAAGAGGGACATGGCTCTTGTAAGATTATCTTGTTCTCTGATTCTCTAGCTCGGTGAGGGATGCTGAGGACGAGGAGGAAAGGGGAGCGCAGGATGAAGAGGGCTCGAGAGGAGGAAGGAGGTGAAGTAGGAACACAAGGAGGGACACACCGAAGAGCGGGGAAGACAGGGAGGAGGAGAAGGAGGAGGAAGAAGAGGAGGAGGAGGAGGAGGTGAAGGAACATATTTCAGGGAAACGCCGACGAGGAAAAGGATGAATGTAAGATGATGGGAAGAGGGAGAACGGGAAGAAGAGGAGGGTAAGAGGATTGCAGTGGACCGGGGATGATGACGGCGATGACGTTGATGATGATGACGATGACTATGCCGACGACGACGCCGACGACGACCAACAAGATGTCGATGATGCGGATGATGATGATGCTGAAAAGTACGATGACGACGAAGATGGTGATCACGATGCTGATGATAATGGTGATAATGATGATTGTTGTGATGGTGATGGTGATGGTGACCATGACCATGACGATGAAGATGACGAGGATGAGGATGGCAATGATGACGATGACCATGACCCTAGCTAGAACTTGAACGCGCGTGAAGCGCGCGCAATGTTCTAGTTTCTCTCTCTCTCTCTCTCTCTCTCTATATATATATATATATCAATATGTATAGAGGCCACCGGCCTTCGGCCACCATGCCTGGGTTGTGGCCCAGAGTCCTCTAGACTATCTGTTGGGGTCTCTGGGGATGCCGCTTGGGCGCCCCTCGGGAGACTCTTGAGGGCCTCTTGGGCGCCTCTGCGGGCCTCTACGGGAGACCTTTTGGCGGTCTCGGGGGCCATCATGACACGCCAGGTCTCCTGGGGCAAGATCGCGTTCCCCCCTCCCGGGACGGAAAACAGTGCAGACGTGATGTGTTTTGTATTATGATGCAGTTTCTGAACAAGTCAGGCGGGGCGCAGCTGGAAGCGCAAGGGAGCGCCCGATGTGTGTATATGATTGTTCGTACCATTCGTAGTCTCATTTGTTTATGTTTTTTGCTTATTAAAACACATGGAGTAGCCCTATGTTCAATAGTTCTTAGGTATTACTAGTTATTAGCATCTTCACCATTCAGGGTATCAGACGAAGTAGTAGAATAACAACTTACTGTTGTTGTTCGTGCTTTCATTCATTAGTCGCATCACTATTCTTGAACGTCTTGCACTCTTGTCCCCGCTCGCCGCCTCTCCAACGACACTTCCAATACAATTCGCAAGCCAGGTGGCGGCCGAGCAGTCATGGACCTGACGGTCGCCTGGGAATGGTGTTGGGAGAAGGGCGGTGCGGCTTCCTCGTCGGTACGATCGACCAGGAGACGGAAGGAATGTTGACGAAAACCGAGAGCAGTGCCCGCTCGGTTTGAACAGGATTCATTGCCGTTGTCGCTGCGAATGTTGCCAGGCAGAGACACAAGTCGCATGTGCAACATTTGCCCCTGTCGAGTTTGAAGAATCACTCGCTGTCGGGCGTCGTCACATTTGGTTGCATTCCCAGTGTGGGTGTGCCTACCAGAGGACCAGGCGTTCCACGATGTGCGCGTAACGGGTGCCAGCGCTGACCACGTGGGGCTGGCTCGCCCTGCTCTCTTTCCGCTGACCCAGGCTTGAGAGTTGCGTCGAGGCCAGCTTGGGTTCGCGACGTGGCCTTGGTTGACCCGGATTGGCGCTGACCTGGGTTAGCGCGTTCCCGATGATGTGTAGATATTCGATTCGCTGTAACGAGTGATGGCCAGAATGTTGACAGAATTTGTTCGAAAAGAGTTTCGGCCGCGGGCCAGAGCACAATGGGGCGCCCCAAGCTTGGAGATCGCCCACTTGAGACCCCAGCCCTTGGAAACCTTGTCCGCATTTGGCAGAGGAGGTAAAAAGGAGGGCGCATGAGTAAGGCCGCCCAAAAGAGGTCCGAGTAGGTCGGGTCGGAGAATCGCACCGCATCGCCGATCTATCGGCGATGCGGCGATGTGGCACGATACGGACCTCGGTTATTGTATCCCGACGTCGCTGATGCATCGGCCATACGGCGCGATCCTCCAGCCCCGTATGGGCGGCCTGCAGGTGATATTGGCGGCCTCCAAATGAGAGGGGCAGGTGTCGCCATGAAGGGTCTCTGAGCCTTCTCCATCACCTTTTTTGTACGTTTCAGTCCTTTCCTTGTCCCCCCTACCTTTCGTCCGACTCCATCCTCCCTCCTCCCCTCCTCCTGAAGAGTCTTGACGAGGAGGGCTCCAGGCCCGGCAGCCTGGGCGGATGATGAGGAGGAGGAGGGAGGAGAGAGAGGAGGGAGGAGGATGGGGGGATGGGGAGGAGAACGAAGAATTTGACCACCTCCTCGGGCTCGGATTGGTGGCATCAGAGTCTTCAATGCACTCAATCATCCCCCCTCCCCAGCGGCAATGGCCACGGGGGGGTGATCATACCAATGGAGCTGCACTGAAAAACAACGGGACCACGACGAGCGCAAGAGACCCCCCAGGGGGCGAGGGGGAGGGAGAGACGGACGACGAGACGGCGGCGATACAATTACCTAACCAGACGAGGAATGAGGGGGAAAAGCAGGGGCTCCTACCTCCCCCTCCTCCCTGCTCCTCCTGCCTTCCCCCCCCCCCCCCCCCCTCCACCTCGGCACCGCCCACGAGATGCGGAGTTTGCGCCAGGGAGGTGGTGGTTGACACGCCGGCTGGGGCCCCGGCGCAGACGAGGCCGGCAGGGGACGCCGTGCTGGGAGAGGAGGAGGAGGAGGAGGAGGAGGAGGAGGAGGAGGAGGAGGAGGAAGAAGGGAGCAGGAGCGGGAGCAAGGGGACGATGAGCGAGGGAGCCTGTTCTCCTCTCTTCCTGGCTCGGATTGACCCAAAAGGGAGTTCAGCTGAAAGGGGGTGGTGCAATAGATTTGGGGCGTTTGGATTTCAAATGTATTTCGCCGGAGAATTGTATTGCATTGTATTGCGAATTGCACGCGAAAATGCAGCAATACATTTGCACCTCGGAATGTTTTGAACTCCCCAAATATATTGCAACCCCACAAATATATTGCACCGGATCTATTGCACCACCCCCTGTCGCTGGACCCCCTTTTGGGCCAACCCGACTTACCATCCTCCTCTGCTTGTCGTTTTCTTAACCATTTTGTGGTGGTGGGTCCTCGTCTTCCTCCTCCTCCTCCTCCTCCACAGGACCGTAGCCATTTTGGCTCAAACGCAAAGCGATCGGAGGCCAGGGCGCTGCAGGCGCCAAGTCTCTGGTGCGAGGCCACCACGGAGAGGCGACCGGCCCCGACATGCAGGATGCCAAAGTCTGGGCTTGCCGCGCGACCAAGGCGTGAGGGTTCAAGAAAAAATCCCCCAGCCGCCTCACATGCTGGGCGTGCGGTCGCGACAGACACGGCCGCCCGTCAGAGGCCAGTACCAAAGGTGGGGCTGTAGGCCCGCCCAAGCAGGCGCCATGGCGGACACCCAGCAGGCGCCCGTCCAGGCCTCGGGGCGATGCGGCGGCTCGTGCTTCTCCTGCTGCTGACGCTGGGGGGGTGGCTTCAGATATTGCCAGCGCGGCGAATTCAGAGGTCACCCAGTGTCGGCGTGCCCTGGGCCAGCACAGGCGTCTCTATGCCAGCGACGAGAGCAACGTGCTGGTGGCGGCGGCCAAAGATGCCTTGGCCAGGGCTGAGGCAGCCGTCCGAGCGGAGCTGGCGCCGGACGACCTCCCCCGCTCCGCCAAGGACAATCTCGTCGTCAAGCTCGCCCAAGCTGAACTGCATGAGACTCAGATCAAGGACCTGAACGCGAAGCTCACCAAGGCGAAGACACGCCATCAAGTCGTCAGCTCGCAAGGCACGTCCATCCGTGCAGAGGCTGCCCAGGCCCAGGCAGCAGTCGCAGCGGCGGCGGCAGCCCTTGCGCAGCCAGTGGAGACGGCGCAGGCCGCGGAGGCAGCCTCAGCCATCGCCCACCTCCAGCACATACTGGCACAGGCGCAGCTCGCCATCCAGAGCGGCAACTCCAAGGAGAGCGTCGGCGCGCAGCTGCTCGACAGCCTCGCGGGGCAGCTCCCGCAGACGCAGTCGTCGCGTCCCACGCAGCAGCCCATACAGGTGAACCAGAGGCATCAGCAGGCCACCCACCGCCTCCAGCGATGGATTCAGCGCCAGCGGCAGCTTCGTATCAGCACGGCCAGTCCTGGCCTGCCATGGACGTCAAGGCCACCACCGCCATCGCCGCCACGGCATGGGAGTGCGCGGGCGAGTGCGGTGGGAGCTACTCATCCACGTCATCGAGGTCAGCGAGGAACTCGGCGTCGCGGTCTTGGTCTTCTCATTTTCAATGGGTCATGCTGGCCTACTTTGCAGCGGTTCCTGATTGAGGGTTCGGGGGATGCCGAGATCACGGCGGCTCAGGAGGTCAGGGTAGACGGAGAGCAGATTGGGCGCCCGCGTCGGTGGGCGACGGCGCAGGGGTGGCCACCGTGCGCTACAACGCGCAAAAGACCGGCGCAGGTTGTCCGAGCGCTGACGCGGCAGTCCGCGCCCGATCCAACACTGCCACCACGCTCTCGCAGAGCCTCGAGGGCGAGGGCACATTCGAGATCTTTCCAGCCTGGTCGGTGCTTGCGCCCACGAACTGCGGCATGCCAGGAGGGTTCGTCGTCGGCTCTGTCCACGTGGAAGCGCCCCCCTCTGCAGACGGACTACCTGACGGCCGACATCCACCGCTACTATGCCCTAGCGGACACTGGCACACCAAGAGCTCGCAGGCAACCAGGTACACGTCTATGCCGACATGCTCCAGGTGGGGCCCGCTGCGCGGCAGCGGGGAAGGGGCGTGCCGATCGGCCGCGGGCAACTACTCCATACTGGACTCTTGGATCGCCTCCGCGGACTTCACGCGGCATGCCGCCGCCTTAGAGTCTGAATAAGTGGCCAGCTCGACCTCATGTGCTCGCGCGTTGTGACTTCGCGGCGCAGCCAAGGAAGATGCGGGAACTGCCCGTCGAGGCCCCCGAGGCTTTCCCGAGGGCGTCGCCTTCGGCCCAAGGGTGCGACCCATTCATGGGCCACCGGGCGAGCTTGACTAAATTGGCGTAGTTGAGAGCGACTCGCGCCAAGGCACCCCCGCATCGGGCATTCAGGCGCAGCACTGGCTGGCTGCATTGCGCTCCGCCCTGCTCACCAACGATGAGAGCGACCAGAGTCGCATGGGTCTGTTCGGTTTGCAACAGCGGCCCCGGCACCGTGGCCGAGCTGACGGGGAGCGGCACATTTGGAGGGCCATCGGGGGCCCGGGGAGATGGCCGCGCCAGGCAGCGAAGAACGGTGCTTTCGTCTTGGGCCAGGCGATCCTCGACCTCGTCCGCCACATGACTGACCCGAACCTCGGCGCTGCGAGACGGCGTCTCATAGCCAGGACTCAGACGAGGGCGTCGCAAGGATATCCGCAGCGAAGAGGGGCTATTTCTGTTTGACATGGCATGGCCCATCATCTACCTTGCCACACAGCGCGCGCCTGACCATGCTCGGGCGCGTTTGGAGGCACGTGCCTGCCGACGCGAGGTTCTGGCTGACCGTCGCGAGCGGGAAGCAGGATGCGCTGGGCCCCGCAGCTATCGCGCATGGGCGAGAATCATGTTTCATGTTGGTCCTGCTCATTTCTTCGCCTCGACGCGCGTCGCTACATGGAAGCGGGCCCAGGTGAAGCGACGCGGCGAGCTACTCTCCCACCCTCAGGCCATCTCGGACAGCCAGATGGACGAGTGGAATGCGATCTGGGGGGGGGGGAGGGGGCACCCTTGTCACCTTGAAGCCGGCGCTCGACATCATGCGCAGCGACGGCGGAGATGGCGAGGACAATTTGGCATGTGATGCGATGCCAGGATGAGACCTCGCATCTGGCATGCGATACGTGCTAGACACGGCTGACCAGGACATCCTACAGGACGTAGCTCGGCTCCCGCTCAGCACCCTACCTGTCAAGACAATCGACGAGCTCAGGCACGCGGCCATGCCCTTTCGTTGGTGCGCCGGCCCGCGGCGCGATGGGAATCGCCCTCGAGCTTGGGCGCTGACATTGGCTTCGGCAATGGCGCTCATTTTGTGCGTCTTTTGGGCTGCGGAGTCTCGGGCGCGACGGCCGTCAGCGGCGTTGTCCGTTCACGTTATGCCCCTGAGCAAACCGCGGGGGAGATTTCGACCGATTGCGCTCTGGCCGTCGCTGCATCGGGCGTACGCCATGGTTCGCATCCAACACGTCAGAGTGCGGATGGCAGAACAGGCGCGGCCGTATTTTTCCATTGGAGAGCGCATGTCGACGTTAGACGTCGGGGGCAGAACGGGACTGCATTGCGAAGCGCACCAAGACAAGGTGGACACTGCGGCGCTCAACGTGCTCATTCACATCAGCAAATGCTTCGACCAAGTCGATTGGAATATCGTGCACAGGGAGGCGGCGCACATGGATTCCCCTGCGCCTGTGCCGAGGCGTGCCTGGCAATATGCCACGCGCCGAGGCGCATCAGGTGCTGCGCGGGGTCTTGCCAGCGTGCTCGGTTGCGATGTTCATGTTCCAGTAGGTGATGATGCTGCCTCTTGACATGTTTGAGAAGAGCTTTGAGCTAGAGTCGGGGAACCACTCTCTGGACACATATGCGGGCGATGCCATGCTGCAGGCAGCGGCCGCCACCTAGCACACCGCGGGGGTCTGAGTGCGCATCATCCAACGCTTGGCTGCAGCGTTAAGGGCCATGCATGGGCCTACCGATAGCCGAGAACAAGATCATGTAGTCGAGCCCCGTTATCGCGCAGCAGGTCGTGAAGGAGGTGAGGCAACACGGCTTTCACACGCGTTCGGTTTCGGAGGTTTCTGCGTCGAGCCTCGCGGAGGCGCGCCCATCGGGCAGCTGGCCATCCGCAGGAGGGCACGCAAGATCGCGTCTCCCTCAAGCGTCTCATGGGCCTGGCCAAGATCGGCAGGGCCATCGCGCAGCCATCCATCGGCCCTGCGCTTTTGTATGGCGCCCAGGTCGAGGCGGCAACGAAGTTCACCATCATCCCCATGGCGGCGATGGTGAGTGTCGGCTGGCCGCGTGCGCCTCCTGGCTCCCCCGCATGGGTGGCGTCGCAGGTGGTGCCTCGCCGCCACCACATACTGATGTGTTTGCGATGTTGGAACCGATATTCACGCGGGCTACACCTGGCGCATGATGCGGCAATGGACAATGGCATCATGCTCCAGGCCTCCAACCACCAACAGCACTGACGGGACAGCAGACATCCTGACCAAGGGGTGGCTGGACCTGCGGGGGCAGCGCAACTGGCCCTGGAACAGTTCGATGGCCAACGCGCGCGCCCTCCCACTGGACATCGGCGACGGGCATTGAACTTCGGCTCACAGACGCATCTCAGGAAGCTGGCGAGGAGAGCCTACGATAATATCCGATTGGGGGAACGGGCCGCGAAGTCAGACCGCGCTCCTGTGACGGGGCCACCCTGAAGGGATCCGCGCGGCCACTGGATGGCCCCACTGCGCCTCCTCCTCGCCCCTCGCGAACAGAGCCGCTAATGGTGGCCTTCTCTATGACCCAGAGGGGCCCTTCGCAACGTGGTCAGCGGAGCGCAGTGGTCACAGGCTCGCCTACGCAGGCACGGTTGCACGGACGGTGGCGTATGCTTGAACTGCGGCGACTGCGAAGTTACTGCTTACCACAGACTCTTGGGCATGTCTTGCACTGGAGCAGGAGAGGGTGATGACGGCGGACGCAGATGCGTTGGACGCAGCCCGCCAGGCTCCCACCAACGATATGTTCTACACCAGGTGCCTTCTCCATCGGGATGCTCTGCCGGAGGCGTCGCCACCGTGCGCGCGTCAGGTCTGGCATTTCGTGCATGGTGCTCAGAGGGCCCACGTGCCAGGTGAGGTCTTCACGGATGGGTCTGCGCACGCCTTGGTGGGATGGAGCGAAGGTTGCCGAGCTGGGTGGGGCATCGCGCTGATGGGCAAATCTGACTGCAAGTGGACGGCGTTCGGACCGTTACCGGGGGCGCAGCTACCAGCGCCGAGAGCGGGATTATTTGCCGTGCTGGTGACCTTGCAGAACGACCTCGTCCCACTGTGCATCCACGCGGACTGCATGATGAGTTTGGATGGCGTTCGCAATCGTCGAGGCTGGTGCCCGCGCCCCCGCCGACAGCATCGGGATCTCTGGGAGAGGCTCTGACACGTGATCATGAACCACGGAGGCCCCCCGGAGGCACTCACTGTCACGCGCGTCAAGGCTCGCCAGACGGTCGGGCAGATCATGACATGCCACGGCGAGAGCGGCAATGACTGGGCGGACATTGCAGCCAAGAGGGGCCCGGCGAGGCATGCGCTGGACCCTGGCAACATCGAGCAGCATGGCCGCTTACTGGAGCGAGTCAGGCAGGTCGCTGCATGAATCGCGAACGCGCAGCAGCTCCTCGAGGCGAAATGCGTGGTGGACCGTGTCCCAGCCGTGACCAGGCGCCCCCGCGATCAGCGTCGAGGACGACTACGAGCGGACGCAGCCGGTGGCCAACGACCCCAGCGAGGAGGTCGCGGCCGTCGGACCAGCGCCCGACTTCGCCTGGCCGCCTCTGAGCTGCCACGCCGGCCTATCCAACATGGACGGGGGTGGAAATGTCGTCGGTGCCCGCGCTTGCCGCGCACCGCTCGCGGCCTTGCGAGAATGCGCGTTGAGCGGTGTTTTGTGCGGCGGCTCAACGGTGAGGCGGAGGCCACTCCCGATGCTGCTGTCCTGGGCCCGACGGCGCAACAGCGTCAGGGCCTGGACCCCAGTCCTGATGAGTTGTTGCCTTCCCCCTCTGGGTATCCCCACGCTTCCAGCAGGCCGCCTGAGGGGCCCCAGACAGAGGATGAGGCTGGAACCCGCAAGCAGCCCCGCGAGGAGCTCGAGCCCCACGGGGGCTCTGCCAGCCCCAGGGTGGCCAGGCCCAGGAGTGGGGACGCCTCATCCTCTTCTCTCCCGCCTCTGTTGCATCCTCCTGCTGCTGCTGCTGCTGCTGACACGTCCGTCACGCCGTCGTCTACCCACCTTGAAACCAGGTCCCAGGCTAGGCCCATG